ATTAGAGCTGCTGCACCGCTGTCGCTTGCGAAAACACAATGACGGTGCTGTGGGTGTAAACGTACAGATTAAGGGGCGGTGATATTATAATGAGATCCCTTTGCCACGTCACCAAGTGAGTGACTCGCTCGTTTTCTCAGACGCTTGCAGCAAAACGCTTCCCAAAACAAAGTTACTGGGTTAATCTTTTTCACGTTTCCTTGGTTGGTAGATGCACCGGGGACCTGATTATAGCACTTAACACCTGGAAAAGTCAGATTTTCATGATACGTCACCTTTAAAAGTCTTTAATTAGAAAAGTCGGTGTGTGAAATGGTAAATCCACCAACACTTGAGGGGAACAGAGATGCTTTCTTGAAGATGCTTAAGGACACGTATATACAGTGAAATCTGTTTTTTCCATTGCGACTGGAACTTTTACAGATTTGGATTTCTGAGGAAGTAGAAGCCTGAGGATATCCTAACTTTATGAAGATTCTTTTTTCAAGAATTTGAATTATTATAGAAAACTCTTAGGTTTTGTCTTTTTTTTTTTTCTTCTTAAAATAAGAATATTCTTAAAATAATTTTTTTGGAAAACAATATTCTTAAATTTTTTTCTCAAGTTAGAAAATAAGAAGAAAATAGCAGTTAAGAATAAATTTCATCTTAAGAACGTTTCGTGAATCTGGCCTCTGGTGTCTAAATTATTGCGAGATCATCAGGCAGCCACAGCATTTCAACAAGAGTGAAACACATGGAGGCAGAAAAGTTCATTGAACTTTTAAAGTTACTAAACAGCTGATGGTTTTCCTGTGTTACATGATCAGTGAAATGAGATTCAGACGCTGTCGGTCACATCCTCATCTGTAATGAACTCGCTGACAAAGAGGTGCAAACAACAGGGACATTTTAAAGGAGACATATTTTTTACAAGTCTACAAGTCTCTGGTGTCCGCAGAATGTGTCTGTGAAGTTTCAGCTCAAAATACTCCACAGATCATTTATTTTGAAAATGCGCAGAAACAGGCTGTTTTTCGGGCCTGGCTCTTTAAATGCAAATGAGCTGCTGCTCCCCGCCCCCTACACTGATCTTAATATTGATTTTTGTAAAACTTCAAAACAAGCACATGATGACACTGGCGTATCTGCTAAAAACATCTGTTTTGGTTCTGATTATCATGTGTATCGCGCTGAAATCATGCGTTTTAAACCATATAACTTCTGATATAGGGTTTTCTGAGCGCACACATCTGAAGCACACGCACAGAAAGCGGCTGTCGCAGCATGCGAGCACTAAACTAAGCTCTCATTCACACACAAGTTTACGTTAAAAACACACACGAGTTACAAAAACAGTGGGTTATGTCTGTGAAGGTAAACAGCTGGGAAATAAATCACATGTTTATTTTAGATCTGTGTGGCAGCAGCAATATACAGTAAATACATCAATAAATCCTCTGCTCTTGTCTCCTCTGAGGCTGGGACTCTAAACAGTGTTCTGTGCTCGTCTCTGCAGCCAAACACAGAACAGCTAGCTTGCTTCGCTCAAACTATCATCATAACATTAGAGCTGCTGCACCGCTGTCGCTTGCGAAAACACAATGACGGTGCTGTGGGTGTAAACGTACAGATTAAGGGGCGGTGATATTATAATGAGATCCCTTTGCCACGTCACCAAGTGAGTGACTCGCTCGTTTTCTCAGACGCTTGCAGCAAAACGCTTCCCAAAACAAAGTTACTGGGTTAATCTTTTTCACGTTTCCTTGGTTGGTAGATGCACCGGGGACCTGATTATAGCACTTAACACCTGGAAAAGTCAGATTTTCATGATACGTCACCTTTAAAAGTCTTTAATTAGAAAAGTCGGTGTGTGAAATGGTAAATCCACCAACACTTGAGGGGAACAGAGATGCTTTCTTGAAGATGCTTAAGGACACGTATATACAGTGAAATCTGTTTTTTCCATTGCGACTGGAACTTTTACAGATTTCAAGGACGTTCACAGTGCAATAAATACAAAAATATAAATCCGAAGGTTTTGTACAAGAGAGATAAAAAATAAACATCTTGTGGCAAATTTGATACATGTTTCTATATATTAACCAGGATAGTGACAGTGGTTAAGACCGCCTCTACCCGTCACCTCCTTATTACACATTCATATCTATCTCTCATGCATTTTGCTGATATAAATAAATTACTCGCATCACTTCATACAAACAGTCAAGACATTACAGTATGATTTTCTGCATGATGTTTGCGCTTATGGAGCGTCACAGTTTATAGTGAACACTAAAATCTCTCTCTCTTTCTCTCTCTCTCTCTCTCTATATATACACACACACACACATACACACCTCCTTACATTTGTGGTTTTCTCGTAAAAAATGACCGGCCTAAAAAAAATGTTATTTGTCATCAATCTTTTTAGCAACCTTTTTTCTTTTTTCCTTTTCTTTTTGTAATTAGCATAGGTTTTGTATTTCATTCTGAAACTGATTGATCTTAGGCCTCATTGATCTCAGAGTCAATATTGGCAAAATTATTCACAAATAATGTTTTTTGTTTGTTTTTTTTTCACTCAAAAACTGTGGTGCACATGCTCAGATCAATGAGACCTACAATTAATCAGAAATACAAAACCTGTGCAGCTGATTGAAAGAAAACTAGTTGATAAAAAGTCTAAATCCAAGATTTGTTGATAATATAGTATAATACAAACAATTTTTAAAAGGTCATTTTTGACCAGGAACACAAGGATTTTCAGCAGAACAAGGATTAAAAATGGCTGAAAGTCATTAGATGTTGTAAAATATTACATGAAGTGTCATTGATTGTAAAGAAAGATGCCCTTTAGCAACACACTTTACAATCAAAGCATCTCACCTAATGTTGAAAACGCAGGCCAAAAGTGTTGTGACACCGGTTGTGAAATATTAATGGAACATTTTCAGAAACCACAGTGTGTCTCAATCTTCAACACGCTTTCTTTACAACAAATGACATCTGATCTGATATTTCATTGTCTAGTGTAATGAAATGTAAACATGAAGAAATAAAACAATACATTTTGAAATGATCCCGACTGATCAAATGAAATGTTCTACCAGTTTAAATTATAAAAATGAAATTATAAATTATTCAACTTAACACTAGTCCTTTAGAAATAACAATCACACAAGGCTACACACGGAGATATTCATATTACATTCATTACACACACTAGCAGTCAAACATTTAGACGCATCGATTCATTCATTTCCTCGTGTTAGAATAATAGTTATAAACTCTAAAATCACACAGATATAAGTCTGGGAATGATGCAGTGATCCAAACGTTATACAACTGAAGACTCTTATATATGCACCTTTTTTTATTAATTTATTATTTATCTACTAAAATTCTTAGTAAATTGTTTTTTTTTATTCTTAAAATATTAATTTATTATTTGTCTACTAAAAGTCTTAGTAAATTGTTTTTTAAAAAATTCTTAAAATATTAATTTATTATTTGTCTACTAAAATTCTTAGTAAATAGTTTTTTTTTATTCTTAAAATATTAATTTATTATTTGTCTACTAAAATCCTTAGTAAATTGTTTTTTTTTTATTCTTAAAATATTAATTTATTATTTGTCTACTAAAATTCTTAGTAAATTGTTTTTTAAAAAATTCTTAAAATATTAATTTATTTTTGCCTACTAAAATTATTAGTAAATTAGTTTTTAAAAATGTATATTAAAATATTGATTTATTTTCATCTACTACTGTTTAGACTCCTTTAGATCAAAAAGTTGTTTAAGATCACGAGTTTGTGTCCAAATGTTTGACTGATCAGATGACAAAAACACTGATGATCATGAAAATAACAATAAAAACAAATTGATTCTCTCCCACATTGACCTCGTGTGTTTTCATACTCTTGTGACTGATGACTAACTGGGCTTTTATGAGAAGTTCTGTATTGCACATATACAGAAAACATCGGGAGTATTTACCATATCTGTGTCCCTGGAGCACAAAAGCAGTGTTGAGTCGCTGGGGGATATTTGTAGCAATAGCCAACAATACATTGTATGGGTCACAATTATACATTTCTCTTTTATGACAAAAATCATTAGGATATTAAGATCATGTTCCATGAAGATATTTTGTAAATGTCCTACCATAAATATATCAAAACTTAATTTTTGATTAGTAATATGCATTGCTAAGAACTTCATTTGGACAACTTTAAAGATGATTTTCTCAATATTTAGATTTTTTTGCACCCTCAGATTCCAGATTTTCAAATATTGTCCGATCCTAACAAACCATACATCAATGGAAAGATTATTAATTCAGCTCAGTTTAAACAAAATGTTACCCTTATGACTGGTTTTGTGTTGTAGGGTCACATTTACTCACAGAATTCATATTCCCAATATATAAATGATTCATCAGTGCAAGTTATTATAGAAAAAAACAAACATCTGAAACCATCAGTAAACATCAAACCACTCATGACACCAATTTGAGCTTTTAACTTATTCTATATGGCAATAATAATCAATAAAAGTGGTAAAATTATTAAATAGGGTGTGGATGGTAAACTAGGTTACACTTCCATAATGTACTTAAAGTGCTCTATTTTTGCACACTAGCTTTGTAATTAATATACTAAAAACGATTCTTTAGTACTTTTTAAGATAAACTTAAGATCATCTAAGTGTACTCAGCTGTGCTATTTTGGGACACCATGAATATGAACTAAAATGTGCTTATAATATACTATCTCTGCATTTAGTCACCACTTGTAGTACACTTGAGTGTAAAGATGCGTTAAAGTGACTAAATACATTTTTTAAATGCAGAGATAGTATATTATAAGCACATTTTAGTTCATATTCATGGTGTCCCAAAACAGCACAGCTGAGTACACTTAGATGATCTTAAGAGGTACTAAAGAATCATTTTTAGTATATTAAGTACAAAATTAGTGCATGAAAATAGAGCACTTTAAGTACATTATAGAAGTGCACTTTTATTTTTAACCTGGGAACTTCAGTGTAATATGTTCAAAAGCACATGAGAGGCTGTGAGCATCAGTAAGAGTGCAGGAGTGAGACGGAGCGCTTCTGAGTGGCTCATGCTGAGCTTGTATTGCCTGACTGTCCTAGTATAGCCTTCCTCTGAAGACTCACAACTGTACTCCCCTTCGTGAGTCTTATTCATGCTGTAAATGAGGTACAAACAGCCCAGCTCGGAGTGAACGCACTCCTCGCGTGTTTTACCGCGGTACCAGTGGTATGTGGCGTGGTGTGACGTCATTGGGCAGAGCAAGAAGTGTTTAGAGGATGGAGGGACACGGGTCACTGGCGTCTTCAGTCCGTTTTCGGTCTTTGATGGTGCAGCTTCAGGCTTATCTGCAGAACACGGTCATGTGATGCGTTTATTAAAGTGACATACATTGATAAATCTGAAAACATATGTGAGCCTGCAGCACAAAAGCAGTGTTGAGTCGCTGGGGGATATTTGTAGCAATAGCCAACAATACATTGTATGGGTCAAAATTATACATTTCTCTTTTATGCCAAAAATCATTAGGATATTAAGTAAAAATCATGTTTCATGAAGGTGATTAGTAATATGCATTGCTAAGAACTTCATTTGGACGACTTTAAAGGCGATTTTCTCAATATTTAGATTTTTTTTGCACCCTCAGATTCCAGATTTTCAAATATTGTCCGATCCTAACAAACCATACATCAATGGAAAGCGTATTTATTCAGAGCATGCATGAATCTCAATTTCCAAAAACTGACCCTTATGACCTTCTTTTTTTTTTCTCAGAAATGAACTTTCTCAATTATACATTTGAAATAATAGTAGTTTAAATAGGCCTATAAAATTTTGAATATAGATATGTGACCCTGGAGCACAAAACCAGTCATAAGGGTCCATTTATTACAATAAATAAGCTCTCCATTGATGTATGGTTTGTTAGGATCGGACAATATTTGAAAATCTGGAATCTGAGGGTGCAAAAAAAATCTAAATATTGAGAAAATCATCTTTAAAGTTGTTCAAATGAAGTTCTTAGCAATGCATATTACTAATCAAACATTAAGTTTTGATATATTTACGGTAGGAAATGTACAAAATATCTTCATGGAACATGATCTTTACTTAATATCCTAATGATTTTTGGCATAAAAGAGAAATGTATAATTGTGACCCATACAATGTATTGTTGGCTATTGCTACAAATATCCCCCAGCGACTCAACACTGCTTTTGTGCTGCAGGGGCACATATTTGAAATAAAAATGCTACTTTTAAATATGAAATTAAAAACGCCAGCAGGTGGTGGCAAATCACTGTTTTAATGAGTGACTAACATTCATTTAACTGAATCATTCAAAACAGTTGATTCATTCATGAACAAGCAAGAATGGGTCACTGAATCACTCGACTGATTCGTTCGAAACCTCGGATTCGTTCAGTAAACGTGTTCAGAGACGCATAACCGTTTTGCTGTGGCTGTATAACTGTTAGAAACTGTAGGAAATATTACTTAATATCGTTTGTTATAAAGCAGGGGTGTTAAACTCCTTTTAGGTTGAGGGCCGGATGGGAAAAAATTTTACCATGTGCAGACCGAATTACTTTTTTTTTTTTAAACCTTGGTGTGCTGACAATTACATTAATATTAACCTTACAAAAATGAATTAGCAAGAAAACTAGAAAAACACTACTCTTTGTGAAAACTGCATTTGTTTATCCAAGTAAAATACTTTTACATAATACTTTCAAAAAAAAAATTTTTTTTTTTAATGTTTTATTTACTATTTTTTATTAGGGATGTACCTATTTTGATTATAGGGCCCTATATAAAAACAAACTCATACTAGGGCCATTTTGCTATATATATATTGGATTTTGGGTGCAAGAGAATCATCACTAATTGATAAAACACTACCGTGGCACAATTCCATATTGTTTTCAGTCATTACAAAGAGGGACATACTTGACATTAAAGCACTGCTTTTTGGGAGGCAAACGCCAGCGGATTTCAAGTTTATTTATAACCACTTTAATTTAATAACAGACTTAAGCTGAATTTTAAGACAAATAATTAACAGGACAGCTTGCATACCTTTATTTTTAAAGTGGTGACATCAATGCATACAGCAAATTTTCTTTTATGCATTTGGTCTCTTTCAAAGTGTTTATATCCAAAAGAAAACATCTGGTAGATTCTCTTAGTTTCTGTATTTTCTGTAACTCTGTGCTTGTGCAGCGTCATGAACTGCTCAGACTCAGATCACTGGTGGCTGCTGATTATGTGTCTTGCGTTTTGTTTAACAATATAAGTTGCAATTATTTACTATTTTAAAAAATCATAATTAAATTGCAGTTGTTAAAAAGTCAAGTCCTGCCAAGTCATGACGTTCAAGTCACTGGATCCCAAGTCCAAGTCGAGGCATTTTCTTTATTTAGTGAACCTGAAACTATCTGTAGATGGTGATCTGAGTTTGCTTTCACGATTTGCATGAATATTTTATTCGGCTGCACCTTGTTCAGGTGATAAAGTGTAGTTCAGGAACAGTCGCACAGTGATCGTGGCTAGTGTGAAAATCACCAAAAACACACCCAATAACAAAAACAGAGCCATACTTACTGCAGTTTGTGAAATCCTGGAATGGGCTTCTGTGGAAAAGAGGACACATTATGTTATATTCATAAATGTTTTTTGCTGTCGTTGTTAAGGCGAGACACTGCAGGTGAATAGAGTAAAAAAAATTAAAAATAGTTATCGCCTTACCCAGCTGATTGATTACATAGATAAAAGCAAAAACTATTTTTTGTATTCCAAGTTTTCTAAAATGTTAGGTTTAAATATGCAAATGAGTCTATTTAATTAAATATGCGCTAATTTGCATAAATATATAGCACAAAAATCTAAACACTGGATGAAGTCTTGTTAATTTTTTTTGACATATTAGAGTCAAAAGTGTTTACAGAGGGAATTTTGGGTATCTCGTTTTTGTCACTCCATAATTCAGAAAATGCTCAGAACGGACAGAAAACACTATATTTTCACAATGTTTTGGGGAATAAAATGTTGTATATAGTGAAATGAATTATATATGAACAAATCCCTCTGTACAAACCTTCAGGATATAGACAAGAATAGAAATATAAAGTTTGGTGTGTGTGAGTGCTACTGAAGTGGAGATTTATAGCTCAGTGTAGGAGAAGAAAAAACTCATTTTGAGAAAACGGCTTTTAAAAATATGTATTGTAATTGAAATCTATTGACACAAATAGATAAAGTGATATAAAAGAAACACTTAGCAGTGTCTTTTGGATGTTTTCTTTCCACTAGACTGAAAAGACACTTTGTGAAAAACCAAAAAGCCCAAAATCTCAAACTTGACCGGTGCATTAAAAAAACTGTGTTTTTGCCCTGCAGTGTCTTCCCTTAAAGGGTCAGGTCACCCAAAAATGAAAATTAGTCCATAAATTACTCACCCTCAAGTCATCCTAGGTGTATATGACTTTCTTCTTTCAGACGAATCCAGTCGGAGTTATATTAAAAATTGTCTTTGATCTTTCAAGCTGTTTAATGCCACTCAGCGGGTGTTGCATGCATCAGTCCAAAAGAAGTGAAATAAAAAAATAAAATGATTATTACGTTTTGAATATGGATATTTTTCTTACGAAAACGCATCGATTAGCCATATACACCTAGGATGACTTGAGGGTGAGTAATTTATGGGCTAATTTTAATTTTTGGGTGAACTAACCCTTTAAGTGAATCATGCAGTGTGGTTTTAAGCTGTGTGGGAAGTTGTGCTAATGTTTCAGTGGTAGAAAATAAGGAAATGAGTAGACATCTACAAAAAGGGGTGCATGTGGTCGAGCAGGTAAAGCGATGCAAAGTTTTTCAGTGGTTATGAGGTTTCAAAATGATTGTAGGCACCATGTGCAATCTGCAAGTCAAGCATCACTATTACCAGTGCTTACAATGATTTGAACAAACCTCAAAAACTACGTATAAAACTTTAGTGTTGTAACTCATTTTGTAGATCACAGAGACTCAAACCAGCATCAAACCACTTCACAATTACCCATAACACTCCAGCATCACTGCTAGGGCTGAACGATTAATTGCATTTGCGATAATATCGCGATATGAAAAAACATTGATTTTGGAGGCTCCGATTATACTCGGTCACATGACACGCGAGAGTAAAGAGGTGTGTTCGACTTGAAGATCGATTGGTGTATGACATCAAAGTACGGCGAGAGAAAACATAAGGAGACGTCCGGGCTCTCTTATAGCTCTCGCAGTACCCACCCATCGGTCTGAGCAGCGCTGCTTCAAGTCGAGCGCGGGCCATCAGCAGATAAAGAAAAGAAATAAAACAGTAAACAGCCAAAGGACGTAACTTAGAATGGGAGATGGATCGGTTTGTGAAAGCGAAGAGAAAAGCCATAGATGAAGTCGCACAGACCCAGGCAGCTGCTGGTCATTCAAAAGCTAAATGCAGAAACTATGACGAGGCATATCTTGCTCTCGGCTTCACTCGCCGTGTCTATACCGCACGCTACAGTTGTCGCATCGCGCCTCAACTGCTCTACACTGGATGCGACAAAGCAACCGTTGCAAATCATTTTAACTTTGTGTCAGTACGTCATAAATAGAACGAGGCATCAGTTTAATGTCACGTCGCATCCAGTGTAGACAGCATCACTGATTATAATGGGTTCTACTGTATGTTGCCGCTCGCGTCCGGTGTAGACACGGTGTTTAATGTCGTTGGTGAGGAGGAAAGCCTGTGTGTGTCCTATGCCTTAGCGGACAGCATGACCCACAAAAAAAATAAAATAAACAAATAACAGAGAGAATAATAATAATAACAGTTATTCTCTCTATGCTATTTTTCAATGTTTCAAGTGATGCAGATGGTTTTTTCCCCTGTAGGTTTTTTTAAATTTTTTTAATTAAATTAGATTTTTTTATAGGCTTAAAAGGGGGGCGCGACCAAAGAAGTTTGAGAACCACTGATCTCAAGTTAACTGTTTAAAAAGTGCAGTGCACATGTTTACATATGTTTATTACAGTGACTTTGAATGACCTAAAGTAGTGTGGTAATGCAACAGATTGTTTTTATATTTCTGCAATCTCCTTTAGCTTGTGTGATTTGTTACGGACTTTCATATTAACGTTTACACCAGGCTTATTTGTCAGTGCTTTATGTTGTCATAATTATTACATGCTTACAAGGTTGGAAGTTCAACAAATCAGTCAATATACTGTGACTGTAGTTGTTAAATAAAAATGTCATTCATATCAATTCATGCATCACCTAATTTCATCGTAACATATCGGCCTGGCCTACAGAAAAGAACATTTATGTTTAATCTATCTAATATTGTGTTGGTCGTACTATACAATGATTTATAGCTTGTCTTTGTTGAATAATACAGAACATAAAGAGCTTTAAAAAATAATTGCATATTAAATCGCAATCGCAATATTTAAAAAAAAAAAACTGCACAACTCTTTCAGTCTATTAAAGAACTATGATTAGCTTCAGTATCAGTGGCTTTGGGCTTTTGCTTAAAATACATGTGTAATCAGGAAGGAAGCAGATGTGTGTGCTTTGAGGTCTTACTTTGCGCTAGAGGTGCAGTGCAAACCGTCCCAAACGCAGTAGGGGTCTCGAGATAATCTACATTCGTTGCACTCATCTCCATACACATGACATCTCTGTAGGTCAATCTGAGCGACCTCATTACTGGAACTCACATATAGACGCCTCTGAGAAATTAAACACAGGATAATGAGTACAACAGCTGATAACATGATAGATTTATATGCTTAAAAATTGAAAGTAAAATAAAACAGCTATAACTGTAGATTGCCCTGTGAAACATCCTGTGCTTTGCGCTCATTGTTAACAGTTATGATCACCGACACACTGAATAACATCTATATTTTTGCATCTGGCAGAAGTTTTTTATTCAAAGTGATTTGCATTGCATTCAAAATAATAATTTCATCTGATCATGCATTCCCTGGGAATTGAACCCATGACCTTGTCGTTGCTAGTGGCATGCTCTACTGTTTAAGATTGGCAGCATTACATTTTATTATTGATTTAGGTATTTTAGGACACTATGAAATCCATAAAAAAATGTTCCATTAGAATTTTTTTTGGAATCCATTTTAAATTTTAGTACTCAAAAAGCATGTCTATTTAATTGCAACCATGAAATGTATGCAATTTAACAACAATTTACTAAAAGTTGAACAAAAATTACATTTTTAGGACCCTATGAAATACATTTGATTTTTTCTCAAATTCCATTTTATTTTTACCAAATTCGGTGTCTTCCATTTTTATTTTTTCTGTATTCCATTTTAATGGTTTCATGAAATGTTAACAATCAAAAAGCATGTCTAATTAATTGAATTCATAAAAACTATTTATTTATTTTCCTTTACAATAATAGGGCCCTAGTACTTCTGACATTCCTGCTTTGGTTTGCAAGTGAAGAGTTGGGTGTTATTTTGCTCAGGGATTTTTACATCGTACCTCCGAAGCGTCCAGCAGCATGCTGGTGATGTGCGTCCCTCGTGGAAATGGCAGATACTCCGCAATCACAAAAACAGGCTCTTCCAGCACTTTATGAACCCCTCCGCTTTCTGTGAGAAAATATTACAACAGGACATTAACTAATATGTCTGTATATGGAACTACCTAGTAAGACAGCATGCTAACCGTCACACAAAGCGGTCTACTTAAAGTGCATGACTAACACAGTTTATTCACATGAAGTTTTACGTTACATGTTGCTTTTGCATGAAATAATCATGTTTTAATTACATAATTTTCACTGAGCATGTTACCATGCATTCTGCGACTCTGAGATATTAGGTAGCATAATTTTACTATGTAGTGTTTGGAACAGCCTTCACGTCTGATGTCTAACAATGACACCTACTTAGCTCACTAGGGTTTGAAACTATTAGATATATGTGCAACTTTGATAGCTCATGCTGCTACACTTCTCAAAGTTATCATTCATTCAGCCTCAGTCGTCTGACTTTATCAATGATGTTTTATTACATTTGGCTAGTCATTAGATTTCCTGCAGCAGTTAGGCATCTAAATGTGAAACTGATAGGAGAATTAAAACTGGGTTAAATCAACATGAAACTGCATTTACATCCCATTTAACTTCTGTTATCTGACTGACCTCTGAGTAAAACAGGATGTTTGACGAGAAGCACTTTATAATAATCGACACATATGCACAATTGACCTGACGGTAAGCCCCTCCCCTCGAACGCAGATGAGCCAATGGCAGTCGAGTATCAGTTGCACGGTAAGCAGAACTCGGACATCTTTAGTTTTCAGCACCACAGAGAAACACTGGAGGATCCGAAGCGTGCATCGGTTTGATGGTGTTTATGCTACAAAAATGTAAAAACGATGTGCCTGGGCTACTTGTAACACTGATTCCAGCTATCCTGAGAGGATGGGCAATATCATTTCTTTTATTACATTTCCTAAACCCAAACAAAACGGAGCAAAATGTCGCTAAGCATTCAACCCCAATCCCAATGAAGACAAAAACGTTCATTTTCTTGTTGTCATACTCTCATTAAGTTACTTATGTTACGTTAATGTCATCTTGTGTTTCAGCAAGGTATCTCTGGCTAAAACTAACATTAAAGTTAGTGCGTCCATGCTACATATAAACCTAAAAAGCTAACTGTTCTCACGTCGTGTACAGTGTAGGTCAACGAAGCTCTACATTTCAGTGCCTCTCCATATTAACGTTAAACTGGTTAAATGTACATTAATTTAATCGTACTCTGTGGTACATGATGATTTGTAAAAAGGGATGCATTAAATAAATGTTTTTGTTCATAGAGAAGTTTTTGTTCATAGGAACATTTCGGAAATTGCTGTACATTCATGTGTTAAAAAAAACAAAAACAAGGATTGGCTGATAAAGAGGGCATGAAATGCTTAATTTGTAAATGTTTAATTGATTTTATATGATTGATTATTGTATCTTGCTGCATTATTTAACTAGCTTTAAATACTGTGCAGCACTAGTGGAGGCTGTTGATCTCTATAATGACAATATTGACAGTACATCTGCTGTAGTGTTCAAGTCAAGAGAATGTACGGTAAAGTTACAAATTGTGTGTAATCAAACCGACGGTGAACACTATTAACTGCAATGATTATATGTTGCGATTAAACTTTGTGATTAAGCTAAATTTACTTCCTTTCTCTATTGCTGTTCCATCAGCAGCTGTTGCCTAAAGTCCCTATTAAGCAGAATGCTAAATGAAACTGAATCATTAAATTCCTCACGGTTCACGGTGACAGATTCACGTACCTAGAGACAGCAGCAGGACGGTGTGGCCTCGAACCCGGTCCACCTGTATATGAGTGTAATGACGGTGTTTGAACAACAGGGGGCCGTTCTCTGGCATCACCCAATCCTTCATCTCTGGACGATCCTTCATAAACCCCAGCACTTCACTGCTTAGACGAGTACTGTCACTAACACACTAAAGGAACCACAAGTAGTTTGTTAGAACGAATGGGAAAGATAATAATTACTGTTGTTCGGACTACAGAGCTCAACAGTCGGTTCTAGATGTAAAAATGTCATTCAGAATCTCCATGAAGAACTGAGAGTGATGATATGTGCCTTTCCAAGTAGCACTGGGGCATTAAAAGCATTAGTTTTACTGTAGTAAGTATTAGTTTTAACTGACACAAAACCCCAGACTGACTACAGGATACAGGATTACAGACGAGCAGTTCATTTCTACCCACATTAAGTACACAACAGTTGTGTTTTATTACGACACTGAATTGTTCGTAAATCAGATGTTGTAATGTGACGCATCTGGCGTTGTTTGTTTTGGCTCAAAACTCAAGAATGAATCATTTAGTGCAGTGCCAATGAGAAATACTCTGCAGCTGAGGATGCTCTGTAATGACATCTGCGATTATCTTAATGCTTTTATAATAGGGCTGCACAATTAATCAAATTTCTAATCGCAGTTACAATTACAGATGATTAGTTTTAACTGACACAAAACCCCAGACTGACTACAGGATACAGGATTACAGACGAGCAGTTCATTTCTACCCACATTATGTACACAACAGTTGTGTTTTATTACGACACTGAATTGTTCGTAAATCAGATGTTGTAATTTGACGCATCTGGCGTTGTTTGTTTTGGCTCAAAACTCAAGAATGAATCATTTAGTGCAGTGCCAATGAGAAATACTCTGCAGCTGAGGATGCTCTGTAATGACATCTGCGATTATCTTAATGCTTTTATAATAGGGCTGCACAATTAATCCAATTTCTAATCGCAGTTACAATTACAGATGCCACATTTACGTAATCATACAAAGCGGCAATTAATTGTTCAAAATGCATGTGTGCTTAAGATGTGTTCTTTTCCTTTTACATGTTATCTTAAGGGTTTTTCTGTTGTTTTAATTTTAGTTTTAGTATAGCATTTGACTTTTTTGTTTAAAGAAGAAACCAATCCAATGCATAGTTCACATTTGAGGCTTAATACTATAGAAAAGCAATAAAAGTTTTTCAGTTAAGTGTTTTCAGCTTGTTTATTTTCATCTAAAAATAATATGGCATGCGGTTGCGGTCAATGTAAAATTATGATGATCGTAAGTAATAATCGCAATTACAATTTCAAGGGAATAATCAACAATTATGATTTTTGTCATAATCGTGCATCCCGACTTTATAGTCACGTTTACTGAAGAAAATTAGAACTGAATGATAATATGGTTTAAATTTTGCAGTGATACATAGAATCAAGCAGTTGAGTTTTGCTATACACTCTCAGAAAAAAAGGTACAAAAGCTGTCACTGGGGCAGTACCTTTCAAAAGGTACACTTTTGTACATTTTAGGTACTAATATGTACACTTTAGGTACTTATATGTACCTTTAAGGTACCAATATGGACTGTTTAGGTACAAAGGTGTGCCTTTTGAAAAGGTACCGCCCCAGTGACAGCTTTTGTACCTTTTTTTCTGAGAGTGTATAGTGCATATGTGAGTATACTTATATAGCTTCATATAAAGAGCTGGGCATTAATATAGTTACATTTGGCCATGAAACAACTCAGTTGAGATTTGCTATATATTCTATATTGATTCAGTGACGGTTTACCATTCCAGGCCGATGATTCGCAGGAACCTTGGCGGCGTTGAATTCAGAGGAACTGAAGATTCTGCTGATTTCAGTCATGTTATAAACGCACACAGCGCTCATGTTCCTGTAAACAGACACAGAGCTTCACATCTGAGACACACGCAAGCACTACAGCTGCACATTCTTCCTTTATTTCATCCGTGTTTGTGGAACTGTGTCAAATGACGCATGTTTCCTCCGAGCTTTTAACACTCGACTGACTGTGACATCCCTATTTAACAGGATAATGTGACAGTCATGTTTGCCTTTTACACTGATGTGACGGCAAATTCAAAAGACTGTGCATTTTAAACAGACACATATTGGAGTTCCATTGATATTTACAGACATTTGAACTAGTATCAACTATTGAGGCCAGTGTTGGGGAAAGTTCATTTAAAAAAAAAAAAAGCAATGCAATCCAATATTGCGTAACTCCCTTAAAAAGTAACTAATTGTGTTCCTTTTTATGGAAAGTAATACGTTATGCTACTTTTGGGTTACTTTTTCTCATCTGGCCTGAACTTGCTTGTTTGTTTTTGATTTAAAAAGTTGTATTTTGCAAATGTAAAAGCCCTTTCACACCAAAAGTGGAATGGTTTAGCCTGAAATATAAAAATCCCTTCTCAGACTTGGTGAAGTACAGCATATTATCTGAAAGACGGAATATAGAAATCAGACAGGACGCCACATGTAGCATTTAATAAAACGAAATGATTTTCATTTTTTACCAGAATGAAAATGAGGTATTTGGACTTGCACCACCGACAAGACCCTAACAATCTCATAGCCGTGCCCTGATAAACACCCTGACGTCACGGAAAGAGTTTGGCACATACTGGCTGGAAAGAATAAAAAGTAACTAATTGTGTTCCTTTTTATGGAAAGTAATACGTTATGCTACTTTTGGGTTACTTTTTCTCATCTGGCCTGAACTTGCTTGTTTGTTTTTGATTTAAAAAGTTGTATTTTGCAAATGTAAAAGCCCTTTCACACCAAAAGTGGAATGGTTTAGCCTGAAATATAAATGCAGCTCAAACAAACCTTTCAGCTGTGCTGCCATTCTGGATTGCATTAAGAATAGGACGCAAGAGACTTTTACTTCAATGAAACACAAATGTTATGTTTATCTAAGCTAATTTTTGCTGCTTAGTATGGTTGAATTGGTTCATTGTAGGTCAGCAGCAAAGGCACTGGTTAATAAAATGGGATTAGAACATATTTAATTATTGCAGGTCATATTTTGAGTTTGCATCTCACTGTTTTTATTAATTTTGAGGAATACTGAATCTGTTTTTCTGCAAGTGAGACGAGTAAATGTTTGTTCATATATAGTCTAGAAGTACTAAACAACGTCTCTGCACTTACTCTCGATTTCTGTCAACATGGCAAAACCATCAATACATGGGAAAACTATTTGAAAAAGTAATTTTCTCGCAAATTAAAAAGTAATGCATTACTATACTAGTTACTTAAAAGAGTAATCTGATTATGCAACTCGCGTTATTTGTAATGCATTGATTACAATGCTGATCGCCTGAAATACAAAGCATGACGTTTTTGTCTTACCAATAGTTTCTGAAGAGCACATAAATTTTGCTGTCGTTGTCTGAGTCTAGTGTGGCCACATCTATCATCTGAGTGAATTCATATCCTCTGCCACAGAACAGACGGGTGTAAATCATGGACGTCCAGCTGCTCTGAAGCTGACTCTTAGATCCGCCTCTGTCGTTCTGAAACAGATCGTGTTGTGTTTAACTCTGCATGCATAGGGTGAGAGTCATATTTTTGGTGCTTTTTGGAGCCTGAAAGCTCCTGTGTGCCTCCGATGTATATAAAAAATCAGCATGAATATTCTGCTAAACATCTTCTGTTCTTCCACGTAAGAAAGTTATGCAGATTTAGACTGTCGTGAGGGGGTTAAATGATTACTAGAACAACAATCAGGTTCTGCAAGTGTTTCTGCATTGCATTGTGATTTTAAAAAGGCTGAAATTTCTCAAGATTTCTCAAATGATATAATGCAGTCAAGTAAATTGAATTGTATTTTTGGGTGCAGTATCTTTATCAGAATAGGTAAGGTTAGGGCGCATCATTAATTGCAATCATATTTAGCATTTTTAAACCATTAACAAAATGTAAAGCTTAGATGGTTTTACAGATACATGAAGACTTTATGTGGGCTGCAGTGAAATACAATGACAAATTCACTTCATGATTTCTGGGGAGATTCTGCTCACCATGCAGCTCTGAGAGACTCGTGCAATCCACTGCTCACCGTCTTCACTTTTGTGCTTCTCTGTGAAGAAGGAATAAACTTTGTCTTTGTGTTGTCCTTTACCAGCGATCAGCTTCAGGTATGTTTGCTCTAAAGAGAAAAAAACAGCGCTGTTTAGAATCAAAACAGTATCGTTCTGATAATGACATGAACTCACTTCAGTGAAAAATTGTGGCAACGAACCACTTTAGCATTGAAACGTGTAGGTAGTATTATTTCATCTAATTTGTAACTTCTCACCCGCTTGAATCGTCTGAGACCAAATGTTGTCAGTTATGTCGTTCTTGTTTATCCTGTACAATCCCTTCTCAGACTTGGTGAAGTACAGCATATTATCTGAAAGACAGAATATAGAAATCAGACAGGACGCCACATGTAGCATTTAATAAGATGAAATTATTTTCATTTTTTACCAGAATGAAAATGAGGTATTTTGTTCATATATAGTCTAGAAGTACTAAACAACGTCTCTGCACTTACTCTCGATTTCTGTCAACATGGCAAAACCATCAATACATGGGAAAACTATTTGAAAAAGTAATTTTCTCGCAAATTAAAAAGTAATGCATTACTATACTAGTTACTTAAAAGAGTAATCTGATTATGCAACTCGCGTTATTTGTAATGCATTGATTACAATGCTGATCGCCTGAAATACAAAGCATGACGTTTTTGTCTTACCAATAGTTTCTGAAGAGCACATAAATTTTGCTGTCGTTGTCTGTGTCTAGTGTGGCCACATCTATCATCTGAGTGAATTCATATCCTCTGCCACAGAACAGACGGGTGTAAATCATGGACGTCCAGCTGCTCTGAAGCTGACTCTTAGATCCGCCTCTGTCGTTCTGAAACAGATCGTGTTGTGTTTAACTCTGCATGCATAGGGTGAGAGTCATATTTTTGGTGCTTTTTGGAGCCTGAAAGCTCCTGTGTGCCTCCGATGTATATAAAAAATCAGCATGAATATTCTGCTAAACATCTTCTGTTCTTCCACGTAAGAAAGTTATGCAGATTTAGACTGTCGTGAGGGGGTTAAATGATTACTAGAACAACAATCAGGTTCTGCAAGTGTTTCTGCATTGCATTGTGATTTTAAAAAGGCTGAAATTTCTCAAGATTTCTCAAATGATATAATGCAGTCAAGTAAATTGAATTGTATTTTTGGGTGCAGTATCTTTATCAGAATAGGTAAGGTTAGGGCGCATCATTAATTGCAATCATATTTAGCATTTTTAAACCATTAACAAAATGTAAAGCTTAGATGGTTTTACAGATTCATGAAGACTTTATGTGGGCTGCAGTGAAATACAATGACAAATTCACTTCATGATTTCTGGGGAGATTCTGCTCACCATGCAGCTCTGAGAGACTCGTGCAATCCACTGCTCACCGTCTTCACTTTTGTGCTTCTCTGTGAAGAAGGAATAAACTTTGTCTTTGTGTTGTCCTTTACCAGCGATCAGCTTCAGGTATGTTTGCTCTAAAGAGAAAAAAACAGCGCTGTTTAGAATCAAAACAGTATCGTTCTGATAATGACATGAACTCACTTCAGTGAAAAATTGTGGCAACGAACCACTTTAGCATTGAAACGTGTAGGTAGTATTATTTCATCTAATTTGTAACTTCTCACCCGCTTGAATCGTCTGAGACCAAATGTTGTCAGTTATGTCGTTCTTGTTTATCCTGTACAATCCCTTCTCAGACTTGGTGAAGTACAGCATATTATCTGAAAGACAGAATATAGAAATCAGACAGGACGCCACATGTAGCATTTAATAAAACGAAATGATTTTCATTTTTTACCAGAATGAAAATGAGGTATTTGGACTTGCACCACCGACAAGACCCTAACAATCTCATAGCCGTGCCCTGATAAACACCCTGACGTCACGGAAAGAGTTTGGCACATACTGGCTGGAAAGAACAGCCAAGTTCCTGTTCCTAAAACTAATAATAATCATAACAATACTGCGTTGTACTCAGCTAATACAGATGTGCCCAACTACACATTTTCAAAGCGACTAACTTTTTTAGCATAACTGACTGATATTCAACAAATATAATAAACACTAAGAGCCAGATTTACTAACAGCTTGCGCAAACACAAACCCTCTTTTGGCCTTTAAAAAACTAGGATTTACTAAAGACACACAGTGAAAAATTAGTGATGAAAAGCCATGGACACTTTTTTACGCATCCGACTTTATTGCATATGCAGGCGATTCCCTTTCAGATGCATGCATTTAAATAATTTACTAATGTTTGTGCTAGTCTGTATGAGCAATTATTTAATGCCCAATAAAAAAATCCATAGACCACATACTGCATCAGTTACAACATCATGGCTGCGTAGAAGAAGGATCCGGGTACTGAAATGGCCAGCCTGCAGTCCAGATCTTTCACCCATAGAAAACATTTGGCGCATCATAAAGAGGAAGATGCGACAAAGAAGACCTAAGACAGTTGAGCAACTAGAAGCCTGTATTAGACAAGAATGGGACCACATTCTATTCCTAAACTTGAGCAACTTGTCTCCTCAGTCCCCAGACGTTTGCAGACTGTTATAAAAAGAAGAGGGGATGCCACACAGTGGTAAACATGGCCTTGTCCCAACTTTTTTGAGATGTGTTGATGCCATGAAATTTAAAATCAACTTATTTTTCCCTTAAAATTATAAATTTTCTCAGTTTAAACATTGATATGTCATCTATGTTGTATTCTGAATAAAATATTGAAATTTGAAACTTCCACATCATTGCATTCTGTTTTTATTCACAATTTGTACAGTGTCCCAACTTTTTTGGAATCGGGTTTGTAGATTAACATTCATTGTATGGAATAGAGCAGATTGAACATTCTGCTAAACATCTCCATTTGTGTTCTACATAAGAAAAAGTCATATTGGTTTGGTAACATGATATCGGTCAGCTCAGGTCTATTACGAGTTGAACATTAACTATGAGTTATATGTAGTATCAGCAATAAATGCTATCATGCAAATATATGAACTGCATTATGAGCATCAGAAGCAGTACTGGGTTTCAACACGTCTGCAATTTCCTGAACCATGCAAATGTGACATCATGTTGAAACACTATTTCATAATGTTTTACTCAACTCTGTCTATTTCTACAGAACATGTGGCTCCAAAAACAGCAGCGTTACCAAAGAACAGTGCCTCAACACTTCTTCAAATCACCTGCTGCGAGTCAAACAGTTGCATTCAGAACAGTGGCGGACAGAAGTGGAGAGGAAGGGAAAGTAGGAGTGTTCGAGAAACCTAACCAAGCACAGCCTGCCCAGTATGTTCCCGACTCTAATATTAAATAATAATACTCCCCTGTGTGCAGCTTTGTGTCAAACAATATGCTAGTCATTATCAAGAATCTCTTGAGTGGGCAGATATGGATGCTGAATGCTGCCCCATAAATGACAGAAATTCAACAAGAAATGAAACTGCCATTATTTTTGCAATTCTAATTAATGCACCAAAATGCAGCAGAAATGTGTGCACATGAATGCATTTCAATACTCATTAAAACGTGCAATACTCACCAACAAGTAATGACGGCTCATTAATATCTGGCTCGTAATTTTCTGACGTGAAGCAATTGATCAGAGAATAACTGGAGTCCTGGAACAAAAGACACGGCTCAGTTTCATACTTACATATGAGTTTAAAATGCATGCAGTAAAAACATGACATACCAAGTTACAGCACTCTGCATTTCCATCATGCGATCTACAGATGAACAGGAGATTTCCATCAATGCCTTCTCTGAGCAGAGAGATCCGGTGTGAACAGAGCTGGAAAACCAACAGTTAAACAGCAGTCAGTGACCTTTAATGAGACACAAACTACCAGCAACCCCTGAAACAGCACTGTTTATATCAATGTTCAGTTATGCATAATAAAAGGTGTGTTCATGTAAACGCATCGAAACTTAACCTGCATTTTTACTGAAGTGTGCATATGTGATATCTGACAGGAAAGCATCTCACTGTGAATGATTTTAGGAGATAAATTGTACATTCTTGGACAAAGAAATCATAAAAGTGTATTCACATCTTGTGCATCCGAAGGAGAAGTCATACGCTCATAGAAATTGCAAACATGAGAAGAATACGAGTGCGTACAAGTTTCCCACAGACATTTTTGGAATAATCTAGGTCGTTAACATTTAACAACTTATGCATTATTTTTACAACTCTCATAACAATTGAAAAACTCATAGTGATGATATTACTAGAGAATATCCTGAATTTTTTAATTTTTTTGTAAATATGGTTCTAGTTCAGGGTTATTTGCATGTAAACTAGTAAAACAGGTTATTTCAATAAACTTAGAATAAACACTTAAACAACACTCAGCAAAACCTGATCCTGTGGGAAGCGTGAATATCAGGTGCTGCAGAGTTGTAGTACTTACAGAGTTGTCTGAATCTTGGCTTTCGTCCTGACAAAGAGGCACATTCACCTAAACAAGGATAGTGCAGCAAACATTAAACATTACAAACAATGAGACTGTGCAAATAAGGGATCATAACACAAGTGACGTCTTTATGCTTGCTTATGTTCCACGAGCCATAAACATAACTTTACACAGGAAATAAACATTTTTCTTCAATGTTTCAGTCGTCTTGCATTGAAAAAGCATTGCATAATCATTTAAAGTAAAATATCATCTTTCTCTTGGCAGGTGAACTAGAGAGATCAGCCGCTGGGAAGCCTTCAGATGTCATTTACAGTCTGAGATCTACTGTATTATATACATGATCAACATGACTGTACCTGATGGGGTTTGGAGGCTTGTGTTGGGCTGATGGAATAGAGGATCTTGTGTCCTCCGACCCAGATGATTTTGTTACCAGAGGTGCTAACGAGCTTCATCAAATGAATATTATTGTTTTCAAAAGAGAACCTGGTTATGCCTGAAACAGAGAGGCAGACTGAAGTTATAAAGTGTGCAGTGTATTCAAACAGATCTAGTTTAAAGGGTTCCTATGCATTAATGCACAAGTGATACACAGAAATGCAGAAGAGACAGCTGTGGGTCCGAGATAAGAGACTCGAGTGGTTTGCGTGATAAAAATAGAGTTCTGTTCAAATTAGTGCTGTCAAACGATTAATCGCGATTAATCGCATCCAAAATAAAAGTGGAGTACAAGAATCACATCTTCATGTGTCAAACTCTTAGTGCTAATTATCGCGATTAATCGCATCCAAAATAAAAGTTGTTTACATAATATATGTGTGTTTGCTGTGTATATATAAAGACACACACATACTGCATATATTTTGAAAATATTTACATGTATATATTTATATTAAAATATATTTCATATATAAACGTAACATTTTTCTTAAAAATATGCATGCATGTGTGTGCATTTATATATACATACACACATATATTATGTAAGCAACTTTTATTTTGGATGCGATTAATCGCGATAATTAGCACTAATTAGAATAGGTGAGAGTTTCCCTTACGTAAAATAAGTTTATTCAAGTGTGCTATTAGTATACTTCTTTAAAACTAAAAATAGGAAAGTATACTTTTAGTCTACTTTTTATGTACTTCTCAGAAATGGGCTTTATGTACTTCTCAGAAATATACTTAAAATGACATTTAAGTATACTTGACTTATACTTAGAAAAAGTCTAAATATATTTGAGCTATACTTGTGTTCCTAGGATACGTGTTTTCATTGTTATACTGTAGGGGTGCTAGCACACATCTTCTGTACAGAATTTCCAAAAAAACACAAGTGAAGAAGAAACCGAAACAACAGATGCTTCCACATGTAATCTAACACGATCTTCAGACATAAAACAGCATCAAAATTGTGCAACGTTATGGAATAAAATGTCGACCCATGAAGAGGTAATTATAACCGTCAAGCTTTGGGGTGTTGATCGACTCTATCTACGTTTTGATTATCGTTCTGAATCCAATTCATAGTCTTTTTGTTCAAAATGTTGTTTATATCTTTATTTTTTTATTTATGAAACTTACCCACATTCGTGTTTAAAAAAAGAATGCATGACGCTAGAATAAAATGTTTTTGTTTACAAGCAGATACCCTGTTCTTTTGATGTTTTGTACGTTCAGATATTCATGTAACAAAACATATACAAATCAATACCTAAATAGGGACATAGTAGTATACTTAAAGTATGACGTAAAGTTAAACTTACGAGTATACTTGCAGTATAAAACAAATAAACTAGTAGTTTACTGAGACTATACTTCAAAGTGTACTAAAAATGCTACTACAAGTATTTAATTAGTAAACTATCAGTATACCTATAAGTTCACTTTTAGTATAGTTGCAGTACAAGCTTAAACTTTTGATGTAAACTAGTTGTGTACTTAAAGTTTACTACTGTTATACTTAAAGTATGCTTTTATATACTAGAAAGTGGGCCAATTTAGTCCCAATGAGTATTGAAATAGTACACTTACAAGTATACTACTAGCACACTGATATTTGTATACTTACTACATAAAGTATACTTAAAATATACTTGAACTTTACTTAAGTATACTTACTAAAATAAACTTGAAGTATACTACTTTTTGGTAAGGGTTGACACCGGTAATGTAATGTGACTATAAAATGAAACACACAGTTTATTCTGACTGTATTTGTATTCTGCTGTAAATTCATACTAATTACAATTCAACTAATTTAATGTTTTTTTTTTCTTGAGGGCTTGACATCAAAATGTTCCTATTTTGCCCATTTTGCACTACAAAGTGTATCACATTTGGATCCAAGCATGATGTTAATATCTATCATTTGAAATAGTACACTTACAAGTATACTACTAGCACACTGATATTTGTATACTTACTACATAAAGTATACTTAAAATATACTTGAACTTTACTTAAGTATACTTACTAAAATAAACTTGAAGTATACTACTTTTTGGTAAGGGTTGACACCGGTAATGTAATGTGACTATAAAATGAAACACACAGTTTATTCTGACTGTATTTGTATTCTGCTGTAAATTCATACTAATTACAATTCAACTAATTTAATGTGTTTTTTTCTTGAGGGCTTGACATCAAAATGTTCCTATTTTGCCCATTTTGCACTACAAAGTGTATCACATTTGGATCCAAGCATGATGTTAATATCTATCAATTGTCTATTTATTTCAACAAAAAACAACATTAGGTGTTGATCTTGAGAATAAAACCGATTAAATATTAAGTAAATGTTAGCTTACCTTCATTTTTCACCTTCACTCGAGCATTATAATGTAATTTTGTTGAACTAACATATGAAATGCATGTGAACAGCGCACAAAAAGACGTCCAGTCCATCTTGACTCTAGAGTTTATGACAGAGAGAGCTGAATGATTCAACACTCAATATTTGTCAGACTTAAGTTGACATAACTTCCTCACACAGGAGGGGCGATTATTAGTTCAACTAATCCTTATCTTAAGTCATGTGTACACTTGTGATAATGATAGGTTCTTAAAATTCTGCATTCGAACCCGAGTGAATTTTAATTCTACACAAAGTTTAATTTAAAGAAGCAGAATCTGATATGAGCTCGTGCAATGTGTGAACAAACCGCTAGAGGGCAGTGTAAAACAGTCTAAAGCAGTTTAAACCAATTACTACATACATTGTTATATTAAAACTAGTAAACTAAAACTACTGCACATGCCCTACATGCAAAAAAAAAAAGTCTGGTCCAAAACAAACAAATCTAGTGAGTAACAAAGCATGTGATGTGAGGAGACGCATATATATAGTTTTAAATAACTAATAGCATATGTGCATAATTTGGTTGATCACAAAGGTGTAGCCAAACTCTCCTCTTTTTTCTTTCTTTGCACAGATGTGTCCTAAATGTGCAGTGCTGATGTTTTTAGGCACAAGGATTGAAAACCATGCTTCTGTTTTGTGAAAAGTGATAACCTATTGATATTTGAAGAGTTGTATAAATAGGGCCATCGTTAGAGACCCCTGGTACTAATGGCTTTAAATAATGCAAATTATAAATCTATGTTTTCAAGTAAATATTTGTGTGCTTTTGCTCAAAAACTAGGCAAAAACTCAGCAGGGCATCACTGCATTGAACCCACTGCCCAAAGAGTCATCTTCAGCTGCAGAATTAATATAACGAGCTTGCAATTTCATGCCAGAACTTCCAGAGAAAGAGAGAGAGCTACTCTCGGTGAGCTTTTATTATTTATGATTGGTCACAAACAGTTGTCACTGTCATTCCTCTTCTGCAGAACCTTTTCAACTCACTAACTTTTAAAAATGAATATGTTGCGTTGTGAATTAAGGAAGTAATTCGATAAAAGCTTATAATAGAATTTCTTGAAATCTGCTCTGGTCAAGCTCAGACACTCATCATCTTTATTAATTATAACTTAATTGTTTATACAAGCATGCAAGAAAATGTACAGGACGTTCATACAGACAGTCAGCGTACACAACGGTGTCATTTTTATTATTTTTACAACTTTGTTCTTTTGATATGTTGAAATTATCAAAGATGAAATGGATTTAGTGTGACAAAGATGTTGTCACTTCCTGAATCATGATGATAACTGGCTTTTATTAATTTGATTGTACTACAGACTAACAGGGAACAAATTATGCCATGTGAGGAAAAAAAATGCATTGAAAATTAATTAAAATGAATTCAGGTGGAACAATATTTCGCTTATCTAATAGAATGCATCTTGATAAAATGCCAGGTATTCTTTTTAGATGGTATTGCATCATTTGTGCAATATAATCAAGATGTTTAAAGTCGGTATGAGATCAAAACTGATGTTAGTTCCAGGTTGCTGACTTTTTATGACCCATTTGGAAATTAATGTTGTGTTCAGCAGGAACTGTATGTGCAGAAATCCATGAAAGTGTGCTATACTGTGATGAACCTGCTGTATTTATACTTCTGTGTCCATAAGCGCATCTCTCAGAGGAGATGGTAAGAGTTAACAGAGACGGTTGTTTCAAGAGTTTGTATGTTTGATTCGATTTTAGAGTATGCTTGACCCTCAATACAGAGCTATTTTACAGTTTCTACCATTATTGCGCTGGGGAAAAATATAGTTAAATTAGTGGGGCATGCATGCTATTTATTTGTATACAGTGTATCTGTTTCCTGCTCTTTGATGCATGTTTAGCAATAATTTAAACAGGAAAAGAATTTAAAATTTTAAAAGGATTCATTATATCACATTTTACTTGGCAAATAAATAATGTAGGCTATTTTGTCTGCTAAATGCAAACATGTAAATGCAACTATCCCAATGGAAATGTGACAACGTGCCCCAACGCTTCTATTTATAATCTCGCCGGGTTTGAGTGCATTGCTTCACTAATTCGAATCGTCTCGTACCGTCACGCATCAGCAGTGAACCGAATTGATTTCTCAGCTGCGGAGCAGACAGCAAGCACTAGTCAGTCAGATTTAGCTGCTGGTTTGAGGAGCTTGTCTTTGGGAATATGCAGATGGAACTTGAAGGTAAGAAAAACACCTGTCTGTTTTTGTGCATCTAATATAGATGCTTTATTGATTGTTTTGCATGCTGGTTCATTGATAACCATGAGGAAGATAGGCTATGTCATGCATGAGTGCAATACCATACACTAAGACAAAAACAGCACCTTAAAGCAATTATTTAAAGATCTGTAAAATGTTTAAAATCAAGCTTTTTATGTTCACAAATATGCACATGAGAGATTTGACTAAATATACTAAAAAGTCAACCAAACACAGCTGGCACGTGACTTCAGTTGACTGATGTTTTATTGATTGTTTTGCATGCAATTCTCGTTTGGTGCATTGATAATCATGAGGAAGATGTCATGCATGGGTTTTATATACTGCAGTATACTAAGACAAAAGCAGCACCTTAAAGCAGTTATTTAAAGGTGTTTAAAATCAAATAGTTTTTATGTTCACAAATATGCACATGAGAGATTTCACTAAATATAGTCCACCACAGCTGGCATGTGACTTCACAGTTGACTGTTATTGATTAGATTAATTGAGTTATATGCATAAAGATAAATTACGAACTTTGTTGGTGGGCGGCACGACCAAACTGCTATGAGTCATTAAAATTACTGATGAGGTTTATGAAATCATGCTGCAGTATATTCAGTGCCATGCTATTATAAACAGCGCTGGGGAGTAACTAGTTACATGTAACGGGATTAGTTACAAAATGAATGTAACTGTAATCTGTTACAGTTGCTTAGAAAAAAAATGTGTAATTAAATTACAGTTACTTATGAAAATGTTATGGATTACAAAGGAAGTTACATCTGAATATTTTCACACACATACAGATTTGATTGAATTCTTTCCCAAATTGCATTAAATGCTCTAAAATATGAGACACTAATGTTTCAGGAGTTTAGGACACAGATTAACTGATTTTTCACTGAATTTCGCATTTTGTGTGCAATTCTTGGATTTGTGTGTAAAGTTATGACAAAAAGAGGCAAAGTTTTGAAAATGTGTGTAAGCTGTAGAAAAATCTTTAAATAGGGTCACTTGTAATCTGTAACCTATTACATTTCCAAACTAACCTTCCTAACACTGATTATAAATATATTCAACTGAGGCTTCAGAAATTATTATTATTTATGCATTTGACAGACGCTTTTATCCAAAGCAACTTACGTTGCGTTCAAATGTAATAATTTGTGACCCTGGACCACAAAACCAGTCATAAGGGTCTATTAATTGATATTTATACATCATCTGAATAAATAGTCTTTTCATTGATGTATGGTTTGTTAGGATCGGACAATATTTGAAAATCTGGAATCTGAGGGTGCTAAAAAATCTAAATATTGAGAAAATCATCTTTAAAGTTGTCCAAATGAAGTTCTTAGCAATGCATGGAAGTAGTTTTGATATATCTACGGTATGAAATTTACAAAATGTCTTCACGAAACATGATCTTTATTTAATATCCTAATGATTTTTTCGGCATAAAAGAAAAAGCCATAATTTTGACCTAGACAATGTATTGTGGGCTACTGCTACAAATATAACCCAGCGACTTAACACTGCTTTTGTGCTGCAGGGTCACATTTATCAGTTCATGCAATCCCTGGGAATTTAACCTATGATGTTGGTGTTGCTAGAAATGATGGATTTTATCTTTATATTGATTGTGTGTGTTTGTTGATATATTTCTCTAGTGCATCTCCAAATCTTATTAGCTGTTGGCCTGGCCGTTCTCTGTTTCTGCCTGCTGATTGGCTGCATCGTCTGCCGCTGGCATCAGAAGTCCCGCCCCCTGGACGATAAAGAGGCGGGGCTTTCCCTACCCCCTCTACCTGCAGATCATGTGATGGTGACTCTAAGCCCCTCCCCTTCCATCAACACTCTGCCAATCAAACAGCAGTACGAAGAGCTGGATGGAGACGTTCTGGACTGTCCCTCATTTAACAGCAGCTCGACGCCGTCTGAAGACGGTCTTTCTTTACCATCTCATCCTCCAAAGTCTCGTTTCAATCTACGGCGGCTCAGCTCCCCCGCCGTTCCCTACAAAGCCTCTAAACCTGTCCGTAGTCGTTCCTCGCTCCCAAGCATTCCTAAACTCAGCCTGGTTGGGAAGTCACGCCGGGTGATTGATCGTAAAAGCAGTGATAATGTATCGTTTTCGGAAAGCAGCAAGCTTAACGCTGACAGCAGCCGATATTACGGCTCTGGCTCTCACAAAGCCACACCTTCCCTTCACTTCACCCTTCTTTTCTCACCAGCTGAGGGCAAACTCACCGCCACCGTTCTGGGTCTCTACCGAGGCTCTAGGAAACTAAGTGGGACTACGGTGAGGGCTTGTCTGTCTCCGATCTACCTCGCACCAGTTTTGGGCGGCCCAAAGCGCAGACACAGCCTCGGTCTGGAGGCTCCGGCGCAGGTTTTCCAGCTGCAGGTGAGGTCAGCAGAAGAGCTCCAGTCCTGTACCCTCAGACTGACCGTGTCCAGCAGGGACTTCTCTGGTCTGAGGGAGACGGCTTTGGGCGAACTCGAACTTCCATGTGCTGGAATCCATTGGGAACCCGATTGCACTGTCACCTTTAATCGGCAGCTCAATCCTGCGAGGAGGAGGCTGAGGAAGGTATTTGAGGAGATTATGCATCATATACCTGGTCAAGGTCAAGGTCAAGTTTATTTATATGTGACCCTGGAGCACAAAACCAGTCAATAAGGGTCCATTTTTTGAAATTGAGATTTATACATCACCTGAAAGCTGGATAAATAAGCTTTCCATTGATGTATGGTTTGTTAGGATCGGACAATATTTGGACGAGATACAACTATTTGAAAATC